GAGAGAGGGTGGGTGAGGGGATGGCCAGAGACAGGCACTGCCTGGGCTGACATCCAAGTCCTCACACAGGCATACACACACACACACACACACACACAGACACACACACACACACAGACACACACACACACACACACGACAAGCTGCACACATATTTTTTCTGTCATTTCTTCATCCTTGTCTCAATGAACAAACTGTCTTTAGATGAGAAGGTATTATTGCTAAACAGACACTTGCAGACCGATGTGCAAGGGAGTCTCACATAGAAAGCTGTGGTAGGACTCAGAGAAGGGGCCTGTGAACTGAGTCTCGGAGGAAGAGGCAGAAAATGGCAATCTAGGCAGAGGGAACAGCATGAGGAAATACCTGAAAGAATCTAAGACTTTAACACTAACTTCCCAAAAAGGAAGTTTTCCTCACCTCTAAAAAGGAATTCAATGTAATTTTATTAAGAGAAGGAATTCTAGACCTTCCTCTAATGGCAATCTAATAGTCCATCCTCACTGTCATCAAAAAAATGTTCAACCCCCAAATTAACAGTAATTAGCCTGAGGTATTGTAAATGTGGCTCTACAGTCTGAAATTTAATGGCATCTTTTGTCAAAAATAGTCTTATTTCCACTTTAGTTTCATGACTACAATATTACAGTGCAATCCCTGTATTATTTACTACAATACAGTCATCAAAAATATCTGAAAAAAAAATTCTTGGACCTTGTGAAATAGTATGTCTATGCACTTCTATAAAAATAGGAACCATGCAAATATCTAAAAGAGTGCTGTCTTCCCAGATCCAGAACAGAGGAAGTTAGTGTTAAGGTCTTGGAATGTGAACACATAGTTTGTCCTTTCCTGACATTTTTACTACTGGAAATCCTTAACCAATTAGAATAGCTTTTTTCTCTTTTATTTTTAAAATGATTTCCTTTGATTAGACACTCTGTGCTCTGTTTTCCTTTTTTCATCTGAATGCAGCTTTTTCTGAACTTAAAGGTAGAATCCCATTTTTAATGAACTGAAATAGCAAAATCGTCTTTTTCATTCTTTCAGAAAAAAAGCTATTGCCAAAGTGAAGGTGTAGATAATACCTAGTCTTGTTATATAATGGGGATGTGGTTTCAGAAGAATTTTCTTTATAAAATTGAAGCTTCAAGGATGTCCATGTTTATGCCATTTTTCCAGTTCCAAAATGATTCCATTCAATTCTAGAAATTTGATGTCACTTGAAATCTTTAATAAAATTTGGATTTAATTATATATATTTTTAAATATATATATTTAAATATATATATATAAATTATATATATATATAATTTGGATTCAATTATAAATAATTAAATTTATATACAGAGAATTAAAATATATATATAAATTATATATATATATATAAATTTAATTATATATATATAATTACATCCAAATTTTATTAAGGGTTTCAAGTTACATACTTCGAATATATATACATATAAAAGAAAATACCTGAAAGCTTAAAAGAATATAGACATTCAAGACACAGCAAAAAGTTGTGAGAGATTACACCCAAGGATATCTGGGAAAAATAAAGTTGGAAGAGGGTGGGAGTTGAGCCCTGGATTCTGTGTCTTAAACCAGTGGGATCCCCATGTGATCCAGGGAAGATGTCTGACTTGCCCTGGGGCAAAGCAAATCCAAGACACAATGTCCACCCCATGATGTGGGCTGGAAATCAGGCACCTGTTGGGGCTGGGCTAAGGGTAAACCAGGCTCTTGGGAAAACACTGCAGATTTCTTGCTGAAATCAAGGCAAAAAAATTTTAATGCAGTTGTGCCCCTGTTTCTGGCCCCAGTACCATCTTACACCTGCAAAAATTACATATTGTCCTGGTTCGAAGAGATGGTTAAAAACTGAACTCAGTGCAACCTTAGTAATGAGGGTATTGGCAAGGAGCTGGCTGGGTCTCCAAAGACTCCTCCTGTTGCTGGGGGTTCTCTTGAGGCAGAGGGGCTTACAGCCTTTTATCCAAGTCCAATACTCAAAGGGAGAGTGTACACAAAGCACTGCTCCATCATGAACACCTCTCCCTCATGCTGCAACTTTCAGGAACCGGGACTTAGGGATATGTAATGTTGCAGCTCCCTCCAGGTGAATCTTACCCTGGTTAAGATTTCTTACTCTTAGCTAGGGAAGAGGTCAAGAAACTACACTAAATGTAAAAGAAGCCTGGCTAGGATGAATTCACATAAAAAGGAATGACGATGCCAAAAGCACAGGCAATGGAAGCAAAACTAGATGAATCAGATTACAACAAAATTAAACACTTCTGTACACCAAGGGACACAATTCACATAGTCACACTGTGAAAAGGCAACCCAGAGAATAAGGAAAATAGTTGCAAATCATATCTGATAAGGGGTTAATATCCAGAATATATAAAGAACTTCTACAACTTGACACTCCAAATAAAAAATGGCCAAAGAACTTGAATAGACATTTCTCCAAAAAAGATATGCAAATGGCCAACAAGCCTGTGAAAATATGCTCAAAATCAAAAGAAATGAAAATCAAAACTACAATAAGATCCACCTCGCACCCATTAGGATAGCTACTAAAAATACAGAATATAAGTGATGGTGAGGATGTGGAGAGATTGGAACCCTTGCGCACTGTTGCAGAGAATGTAAAGTGATGCCACTGTTTTGGTGGCACACAAAAAAGAAAATGGGTCCTCAAAAAAATAAAAATAACATTTCTATGTGATCCAGCAATTCCATTCCTATATGCCCAAAAACCTGAAAACGGCGTCTCAAAGAGCTATTTGTATAACCATGTGTATAGGAATATTCACCATACCCAAATGGTAGAAACAACCCAGGTGTTCATCAAAAAAAGGAATGACTAAACAAAATGTGGTGTATCTATACAATCAAATATTACTTGGCCTTAAAACGGAAGGAAATTGTGACACATGCCATGACATGGTTGAGTCTTGAAGATGTTACGTTAAGTAAAATAAGTGAGACACAAAGGACAAGTACTGTGTGATTCCACTTATATGAGATCCCTAGAGAAGTCACATTTATAGAGACAAAAAGTAGAATGGTGGCTGCCAGGGGCTGGGTGGAAGGAGGAATGGGGAATTGTTTAATGGGGACAAAGTTCCAGTTTCCAAGATGAAAAATTCTCAAGATTGTTTTCACAACGGTGCGAATATACTTAACACTACTGAACTGTATACTTAAAAGTGATTCCGATGGTAAATTTTATGTGTATTTCACCACAAGAAGTACATGAATAAGTGAGTGCTGTGCATGTGAACAGGAAGGCCTCTGAGTCTGCACCTAGATTTTCTTGCCCACTAATCAGTACTTGTCCTTCAGGCTCCTGATCATCTTATAATGCCCAGCTGAAAGATGTGCTACTCTAGGAGATCTTCCCCAACTCCCCCAGCAGAGCCAAGGTTTCTGTCAAGGCATGACTGGTGGCAGGTAGAAGCATAGTTTTGGTCAGCTGTGTTTCTTTGTTCATTCATTCATTCATTCACTCATTCATGTGTTCACTTATTCCTTCCATGGATTAATGTTCTCTGAATGCTTGTCTGTGCCAGCTATGTCACTGAGGCTGCAAATAGACCCATGAGGGAGACTGTTTTGGCCTTGCCCATAGCCTAAAGGGGAAACCAAGTCCACCAAAACAGATCCCACATTATAAAACCAGGACAGAGAGTCTGTTATGCACTGTAGGAGCCTAGAAAGATGATTGACTAGTGTGGGAGTGGTTGTAGTCAAGTGGGCCTTCTCTGAGACAGTGGTGCCTGAGCTAAGCCCTGAAGGACCCATAAGGGAAGGACCATAGGCAGGCAAGGGAAAGTAGCAGAGTGTATTTCAGATTGAAAAAGTTCCGGTTAGGAGCAAAGAAAAGTATAGTCTGTCCTTCATATCCTTGCATTTCACTTCTGTAGGTTCAACCAATGGCAGATTGAAAATATTCAGGAAAAAAAAATAAAAATAATACAAAGAACAGATACAGTATAACAGCTATTTCCATAGCTCTGACATTGTATTAGGTATTACAAATAATCAAGAGATGATTTAAAGTATGGAAGGGTGTGCATAGTTTATATTCAAATACTACATCATTTTATATCAGAGACTTGAACATACACAAATTTTGTTATTCATGGGGACTCCTGAAAGCAATCCCTCATGAATACTGATGGACAATTATATAGGGAAAAGAGAGGGATTAATGGAGGGAGGGAGAGAATGTGAATAGCAGAGTTGAGCAATAACCACCGATAGTTCAAAGGAATTTGAACTCGTAGGTGCCTCTAATGCAGTTATTAACTTGAAGAGTCTCCCCACCACCAGCAGTTTTCAGGGCCTCTTCAGAAATGCTCTGCAGAAAGGAGGGTGCAGCCAGAGCTGCCAGCTACCCCGTCTCCAGGTGTACAATTGTCAATTACCTTGCTCCTCACTCCCTGCCGTGGAATGGACCAAAAGCTGGGTCCATCTCCCTGGTCCAGAGAAGTCTGCAGAGACCTCATCCTGGCTAGCAAACAGACCGATTGATCCACAGAGCAGGAACTGGAGTGTGTGATGAGGAGGAGCAGCCCTGAGTGGGCATCCTCCTGCCCTCTCCCAACAACACTATCACATTCCTTGGCCTGTCTTGGGAGACAGACACTGGGTAGCTGGCCTAAATGTCTATAGTCTGTGCTCGAAGCACATGCATGTGCAGAGGAAAGGGAGTATTCAGAAAACATGTTAGAAAAGTGGGGTCCACAACCAAGGGAGGAGTGTCTAGGTGCAAAAGAGCCAGAGGGGGGCAGTACTGCAGCAAGGTGTACGTCATTTTGCAAATGGGCTTCTTCAGAGCAGATCATTGCCCAGGTTCCCAGTTCCAGACAGACCCCTGGAAGACAGATAAGCTACTCCCTTCTCCCTTCCTCAGACTTAGGCAGGCTGAAGCTCCCAGAAGCCTAGCCAGCACAGTCTGTACTCTCCAAATACTTGGGCTAAACTTGGAGGCAGAATCTTGGATGTTTAGGCCAAAAACCTGGGGTCGGAGAGGTTTTGGAGAGAATTCAGGGGACATGAAGGTAATTCATATAAATCAGGAGATCTAAATAGCTCCTTTAGCTCCTGGGATCAAGGCCAAGGATGGAGAGGCAGTTGGGCCCCAGGCGTTATGGCTTGTTAGCAGCAGCTGGCTCGGGGCTGTACATCCCATCAGACAAGTAGTCATCTTCATTGTTCTGTTTCATCTTGGTCTCCAAAATCGTTATGCGCTGCTTGAGCTTCTGCTGGGCCCCCGTGTACTCAGCCAGCAGGCGGCCAAAGCGAGTGTACAAGGTTTCCATGTTGGTCTCCAGCTGCACTAGCTTCTCCTGCACGTCCACCTCCATGCTGGTTCCCACTTCTTTCTCATCCAGCAGCCCCTCCTTCATGAGGATCTCCCGACCCCTCTCTTCTAGAACCTTCTTGGCATCAGGGTATTCAGTCACTGCTTCCATTAGATCATCCTTGGACAAGCAGAAGAGATCTGAGTAGCCCAGGCTGCGAATATTAGCCGTGCGTCGATTTCCCATTTTACTGCCCTTAATATTAAGGATACTAATCTCTCCAAAGCAGCTTCCAGCAGAGAGAAGGGCATACTGAGTCACACCATCATCAGCCACCACTGCCAGCTTGCCCTCCTTAATGATGTACATCTCCTTGCCAATGTCCCCTTTACGGCAAATGTAATCCCCAGGACTGAAGACCTGAGGACGGAGTTTCAGTACCAGCTCTACCAGCAGGCCAGCCTCACAATCATGGAAGATGCGCACTTTCTTGAGTGTGGACAGGTGGACGTTGATGGCTATCTCAGCCCTGAGCTTGGCTGGCAGGTTCTTGAGAACTTCCCGCTCATCTACTGTCTTCTTATTGGTCCACAAATAGTCAAACCACCGAATGACCTTGGCTTCCATCTCCTTGCTGACCTTTCGGAACTGCATGTAGTGTTTCACGGCATCGATCTTAGCCTGGAACTCTGCCCGGGTGGCATTCATGTTGGAGATCATGGAGCCCACATTTCCCACGATGGTGGCAAAGATGAGGACACCAATCAGGAAGTCAAAGATGACAAATAGGTACTCCTCATCCTTTACAGGGGGTGGTGTCTCCCCAATGGTGGTGAGGGTCAGTGTGGACCAGTAAAGGCAATAGATGTATTCCCTAGCCAGGTAGCCATAGTCAGGGTCAGTGATGTTGGGGTAAACCCAGGTGTCAACCCCAAAGCCTATGGATTTGGAGATGGCATAATAGATGCAGGCATTCCAGTGGATGATGACCAAGATATAGAGGACAAGGTTGCTGATGCGGAAGATGTTAGGGTAGCTGGTGCGTGTCTCTGTCCGGTCAAAGAACTCAAACATGCGGGCAAAGTGCAGCAGGCGGTTGAATCGCACCTCTGGGCTGTGAATGCCCACAGCAAAATAGATCAGGTCAGTGGGGATGATGGAAGCCACATCCAGCTTGAACTGCAGGGTGTGGATGTAGTTGTCCCGCAGTTTCTTGGTATCTTTGACCAGCAGCCCCTGCTCCAGAAAACCTAGTAGAGATGCAAGCCAGCATGAACCCTCTGCCCTCAGGCCTATTTTTCCCTATATGCTAATATCTCCAGGTCATGAAAATACTGCTCACTGAAACTTCCTTCCTAAGGAGGGATGTAGCTCACATAGCAGGGCTGGCCAGAAGGACTGTATGATAACACCCCCAGATCCAAACCTCTCTAAGCATGTAGGACCGTGAGGTTCAAAGAAGGGTACTCACCTATCCGAGTCCCACCCAAGCAATTTAGTCAAACACTGTCCACTGGGCTTCCTAAAAATTTGGACTCAGGCCTTCGGAGTTACCTGCACCCCAGTTGCTCACTGACCTGTGCGCAATCGGATGAAGAGGTCTGCAATGTAGACCACATCTGAGACGTAGTCCAGCACCAACCACACCAGGTAGTAGCCTTGCTGTAGGTCACTGAAGCAGGCTCTGCAGGAGGACAGGGCTAAGCTTCACCTTCAAAGCAAGCCAAAAGTACCCTAGAGGCCCCAAACTGAGTGTTCACTGTGTACATGCGTTGGGATGGCTACCAGGGGTATCATTCAGTCACAGTCAGCCTGATGCCAAGAGACACTTATCTGTAAGTAGCTTCTGTCCCACCCCTCCTCATTACATAGGCATCACTACATAGACAACACCATTGGCCATTAATTTTCTGTCTCACCCTCTGAACTGTGAGCTCCAGGAAGGCAGGGACCCCTCTTAGTCATTATGGCATGCCCCATGCCTGACCCAGGGCACCAGAATTTGAGGGCCCAATGGCTGTGAGTTGAATGAATGAACAAGTCCTTGGAAGAACAAACTACAGCATAGAACTGAACTGCCTCCATGCTCATCTCCTCAACATATACCTTATTCAGCACCCAACATGCAGCACTACCCAATACACGTGAGAGAGAGGGTAGGAGTTGGAATGGTGAAAGGTTTAGAGGCTGCAGGAACTTTTTAGAAGGAAGTGGCAGGATTTGGCAACTGAGTAAGGAGAGGGTTGGGGAGAGGGTATAGTCAGGGACAGAACCCAGGATGATTATCCAGTGAGGCAACTAACCAAAGGGGAGAACCATTAATTCTGACTACTTGCTCACATTTAGACTCAAACTCCAGCCCCCTCCCTTTCCCAATGAGACTGCAGAGGTGGCACATGGCAGTGACAACTCACTCATAGCCTCTAGCCACAGTAGGCCATCCTGAGACAGAGTGTGCACATTTGCTGTTTCTTCTGCGCAGAATGCTCCCTCCACCATCTAATTAGCTGCCTCCCTCCCACCAGCTAAGGCATCACCTTTTTAGAGAGGTTGATCCTGACCACCCTTTATCTAGCAGCTCCCTGCCACCAGCCCATGGCATTAGCCTGGTCATTTGTTTCATTTCAGGTTTAGAGTCAGTGTCTGTCACTAGCCTGGGTGCTCCAGGAGAGCAGAGACCATGGCTGTTGTTCTCCCCACATTATCCCCAGCACTGAGCACATATGAGGTGCTCAGTCGAATCCTTGCTCAATGAATGGCTGGGATAGGGATGGAGTAGGATGGAGTTAGGGAACATTTAGATAGTGGCTTTTGAACTGAGCCTGCAAGGAGAAGAATCTCCATAGGTGGAAAACTGCGTATTCTGATCCAAGAGACGTGAATGCTGTGGCTGGGGTGTGTCCAGAAGGTAGAGCAAGAGAAAAAGGCCAGGTCCAGGGGAGTTTGAAGGCCGTGCTTAGGCCTTGAACTTCATCCTGTGGACAATGGGGAGCCACTGAAGGGTTTGTGAGGAGGGAGTGGCATCATCAAATCCTAGTTCTCTATCAAGTATGTTTGTTTCAAATGTGGAGGATGCGCCATAGATGTGTGGAGCCATTGTGGTTGTCCCAGACACAAGACAGACAAGAAATCTTCGTGGCATATTAAATGGGGAGAGGGTTGGGGTAAGAGAAGTTGCAGGTGCCACTGGTAGCCAGGGACTACTGCACTGTCAATCCCGGGGTCTGAAGACTGGGTGACTTTGGCTACCCCTCCAGGGCCCCATTCTGCTCACCTGGCCACCAGCAGGCACCAGTTGTAAAGGACAGGCATGGCAATGACAAACAGCCAGTGGTAGTACCAATCCCCAGCTGGGTCCAAAACAAATAGTTCAAATTTCTTCCTGAGAAGACAGACAAAGGCCAGGCTTGGGGATCAGATACCCTCAGTGTGATAGCACCCCATATCCCAGAAACCAGAGGTGCCTGAGAAAGCACTACCTATGGGAATATGTGGGGTGAAGGATGGGTTGGCTGAGGACCCAACCCATCCTTCAGGCTGAGGGCCCCATTTTTCAGGGACCTACAACCTGGTACTGGGCATCTGAGTGGAGCTCACATGGGTGTAGGCACCCATCTTCCCATTCTGAATCAGGATAGGTCCATTGGCTCCCATGCACCTTGCAGGCCCCTTGCCCAAAGGGCATGTCAAGGGGCAGAACTTTCAGTAGTGGTGGGTCTCAGGGCCTGGGAAGGGATTTCCTCAGGATGGTAATGGAGACTTAGCCCTATTCCTACATCCCTCCCTAAAGAGAGTGGCTCCAGGTGAGTTAGCACCGCAAGCTTCCTGCCTACCTCAGCCTCCCTTTTAGGTCATTGGCCTCCAACCTCCAAATCACTTTCCCAGATGTTGTGCCCTGCTTTGGCAAAGGACCTTTCCCTCCACTGGCCACAAGTGGGGAATGTCAGCTTGGCCAGACTTCTGCAGTTGCCTACTCATGCCTCAAAGGGCAGAACCTCCAGTTCTGCCTTCTCTGCCCTCCCCATGATGTCCTGCTCCATCATTCAGCCCTTCTCCTTCAGCCCTTTACATGATCTCTTCAAAGACCCACTTCCCCATCCACAGTGGAACTGAGATTGGCATTCCCTCCAGGGCACTCACTAAGTGCACCCTCTCAGCATTTCCTGACCACTGGAACTGGGCTGTACATTAATGTGCAGCAATAGGACATCTGGCAAGAGGCAACTAAGGTGAGAAAAGACACCAGAGGTTCTCATGGCAAGTAGGCCACTGGCTGTTGGCGGGGCACAATGGAGATATTCTGGAATTGAAAACATTGCAAGTCAACCTTGCCCTCCACTCTGCTTGCTACAGCAGGGCTTGTCGTAGCTCCTGACAATAGCATAGAAACCCTAGTGAGCTCTTCCATTGCATGCCTGGAGCCCATTTGAGCCCCACAGGCTGAACAGTGTACTTGGTTCCTTTGTCCTCGCCATCCTTGTGGCCTTTGCCATCCCCCTGCTGTGTCGTCACAGTCTGGAGCTCAGGCCCACGAAAACGCTCGAGGAATGAGTCAGGCCTAGGTTCCTCTTCTCGGAAATTCTTGTTGGCCCACTCTCTGATGACCCCCACCAGGCGAACTATCCTAGAGGTGAGAGAAAGAACGTATGAGCCAGAGCCAAGATTCATGCTGTTCACAGAGCACCCGTCCCCAGGAGTTCACTGTCTGCTGAGGAAGATGAAAGAAGGACAGTGAAATCTAGAAACAGGCCAGGCCATGATTTCACTGTGCTAAAAGCTGGGGTAAAGGCCAGAACTTGGAGCACAGGACTAGGCCTCAGGCATGATGGTGTATGCAGTCTGGGGGCGACTGCAGTCCTGGGAAGACTTCCTATAGGAAGTGCCATCTCAGTTGATGGTGAGAAGAGCAAACAGGATGTCTTCAGGGCAAGATGGAGGTTATGTTAAGGCAAGACCTGTCAGGAATAAAGCTTTCCCTGAGATTCCTGCTTTCCCTACGGAGCCTGTAACTCTGGGATAGTGAGGTCTTGGGTCCTCTACCCAGGCCTCTCTACCGGGAAGGGTATTGCCCCCTGAAGCTGAGACAGCCAAGTGTTAAGGGAGGCCTCTTCTGGTCCCTCTGAGCTTGCCTGCCTTGGGGTTTGCCCAGGCCTCAGGAAGAAAGAATTAAGTTTGGCTAGCACTGACAGTGCTCCCTGGGGTCTTGGTGGACAGCACTAGTGGGACCATGAAGAGGAGGGCCATGGTAGCCACCCTGACATGCCCCATGGGTAGTAGGAGGAAGCAACAAGATAGTGGTGGGACCCACCTGCGGAAGCCACCCCTTCCCCGCTGTGGGGCATCCAAGTCTGCCAGTCTCTGCAGTTCTGAGGAGGTGTCATCGTCAGCTGCAGAGTGTAGCCTGCAGAAGAAAGAGCAGAGTTGACTCAGGGTTCTCAGTGCATGACTTGTCTCCCCTCCAGGGTTGTGCTTAGAAATTCCATGATCTTTTAAGAGGGTGTTCTGGAGACAAAGACTGTTGGCTCTGTGACAATGAGGCACAGGTGGGAGAAGTAGCAGCATCTGCACCCTCCCTGATACCATGCAGACTCACCTGCTGCTTGTCCTGTGGTCATCTTTGCCATTGGCCTTGATGGCAGGGGCTGCGTGATGGTTGTGATTATTGGCTGGGGAGCTCTTCATGCCATTCGCTTTTTCAGTCATCCTCCATGTACAACAAGAGCCCTTATCTGTCAGAAAGAGGGCCAAGAAAAAGGTCCCAGAGGACCCTGACACCCACAGAGAGTGGGAGAGTGGCAAGTGAATGGATGGATTATAAGCCAGGGCCACCTGGCCAACTGCACTGCTGTGGCAGTCAGGGCAGTGGGATTCAGCATTGTGTAAGTGCCAGGCCCCAGGGGTCAAGACAATGAGGGTACTCCCCCAACCCTAATATGTAATTATAAATGAAAACAGTGCTGAACTGCAAAAAGTGTTTGCTTTTTTATTTTACCACAGGATATATTTTTTTCATACAAACCACCAATGCTAAAAGAAAACAAAAGAAACAAAAACTGTTTAAGCCTTCTTCCTGTGCCTTCACTTTGCGGATGTCTGGTACATGCTTAAGCTGCCGAGCAGCTCCCAGGCAGCCACTGCCCCAAAGCCCTAGCCCAAGGGAGGATGTGTGTTTCCCTGGCCCAGAGTAGCTTCCCTCTTCCCTAAGGAGCATGAGCTCTGAGGTGGTCTCCAGTGAGGAGAAGCAGAAAGTGGTGGCTTGGAGAGGGGTGGGATAGAGAGCAGCTGCTCTGGGCCAGGGAGATACATCTCCTCCCTTGGGCCAGGGTTTTGGGGCAGTGGCTGCCTGGGAGCTGCTCGGCAGCTTAAGCATGTGCCAGGCATCCGCAAAGCGAAGGCACGGGAAGATGGCTTAAACAGTTTTTGTTTCTTTTGTTTTCTTTTAGCTTTGATAGTTTGATAGTGAGGGCTCTCTCCTCTGTGCAGAGCAGGAGTGTGACAAGGGCAGATCCCTCTGGCTGCTCTGTGGAGCCTGCATTAGAGGGAGAGCAAGGGTGAAGGTCGGGGGCTGGGAGGAGGCTGGACAAGAGCACTGATGGAGACCAAGACAAGAGGGCAGAACTATCTAAGAGGAGAATGGATGGCACTCAGAGAAGCAGTGGGTGTGGGGAGCAATGGAGAGAGAGAGTGGGTGGGATCACAAAAGAAGAGGAGACAGAGTGAGGGCCAGGGCCAGAGTTGTGGAGAACCCCAATATTTAAGGGTTGAGCAGACGCAGAGGCGTCCAAAAAATAGATGGAGAAATAATAACCCAGAAGGTAACAATCTAGAAGAGAGGCAGGAGATCGTGTCCCATGTTGTCTCTTGCCAGGGAGTCAGGAGACACCTGGAGGAGCTCTTCCCTCTGGGGCTGGTTGGCATGCCTACCAGGTATGGCCAGAAATGGTTAGCATGAGCCCCAGATTTCCCACAGCCCCTGCTGCTGGACCCACAGTCCCGAAGCTGTTCCTGGAGCTCCCTCAACCCCCGCCCAAGCTTGTTCCAGCCTCTGAAGCTGTCACCATGGTGATGGCAGGCTCATCAAACAGCCTCAGAGATGCTCACCTGGTGCCTCTATGGGACTAGGGCATGGTGATACTAATGAGGGCACTTGAGGAAAAGGAACCAGCATCACTGAGTCCCTGCTTGGACCCTGGAGGCAGTGGACCATGGAGACAAAAAGTTTCAGGCAGTGCAAACAAAGCCAGAGCCGTTCACACCAGAGTTATGGAGCTCGCCTCCTGGAAAAGGTGATGTTGAAACTGAAGCTGACAGATCAAAAGGGCTATAATCCAGGGTCAGGACAGTGATGGGGACACAGCTCATGTTCATACCCTCTCTAAGGTTCTGTCACAAAGACAGATTCCCCTACCCTGTGATCCCTGCTCCTTCTATACCAGGAACAGGCCGATCCCTCAGCCTGGCTGCCTGCATACACTCCCCTTTGTCAGAAACTGCCCCCTCAGGCTGCTTGCTGGAAACAAGGCAGTTGGGGTGGTGGGTCTCATGTATGCACCCTCTCCAGGAAACCCCAAGTCCCAAGACTCCAGCTACCATCATGTCAAATCAGCTCGTCAAATTTACCCACCTCTGAAAGGGGCCTGCCCTCTTCCCAGTCACTCAAGCTAGAAGCCTGGTGTCACCCATAACTCCTTTTTTCCTTTATCACATTCAAGCAGCCTCTGTCCTGAGTTCTTTGTCCCTCCAAAAATGTCAAGTTTCTGTCCACCCATTGCCCTTCATCCCCAAGGCCCTGGCCTGGTCTCAAGCGTTCAACACAACTCTCCACACCTGCTGCAGCAGACTGTGGATGGCTCAGCACTCTCTGGGGTCTGGACTGGAGGGGTCACATGACCACCAGGGTTTACATTGCAGGTAAAGCTTTTGGGGGGGATGTGCCCATCCCTATACCGTGAGAGCAGAGAAAAGCTAAGGGTAGAGCTCTGGTGAGCTGCAACCATGAAATATAGTGGAGGGGCTGAGCGAGTGAAGGAGAGTGAGGCTGGGAATGTGAGAAACATGAGGAAGTTCCCAGGGAAGGCAGACTTTCAGGAAGGGAGCTGTCTGCAAGGCCAATGCCCCACTCCCATATCAGGAAGATAAGTGCCCTGTGCCGGGTACTTCTTCCCCAAGATGAGAGCTGGAGCGGGCACTGGGTGGAACAATAGGAGCCTTGCTGGGGACCTTATCAGGAGGGACGTCAAGGAGTAGTAGTCAAAGAGAACATGGTTCATCAAGTTTCAAGCGAGGAGTAGGAGGGACAGATAAGAGATAAAGCACATAGCTCAGTCTTTCTAAGAGATTGACCCCCCCCCCAAAAAAAAAAAATAGGAAAGATAAAGTGGAAACTGGAGGGGGATGTGGGGCTGACAAAGGTTCTCTGTGTTGCTGTTGTTATAATTCTATGTCAAGAAGATAATAAAGCAAGCTTAAAGGTTTTGAAGAGGAATTCAGTAGATAATAAAAATACATGTGCTTGTGAGAAACTTCAGTTGAGGCTGGAGCCATGAAAGATATGCAGAATGGGAAGGTTCACGTACCAGAGGAAGTGAAAGGAGACACATCCAGGACAAGAAGAAGGGGCTGCCGAGAAACAGGCCATGAGACAGTTGAAGGGATTCACTCTTGCAAAACCCCAGTGTTCTAAGTGAAATGGGAGGGATGGGAAGGGTCTCATCTTCAGAACACCAGGCAGCAGTAGGTGCAGACTTTAGGGGAGATGGCCAGAGGGTTTGCAATAGCTGCTGCAAGGACAGACAGGGGATTCCAAACAAGTGTGAGGACAGGAAGAGCCTTGGCTAGGAAGACGACAGACCATGTAGCTGCCAAAAAGAACAGAGATGGGCAACAGATCTTAGATGAGCAGTGGGATTCTCAAAAGGGCGTGGCTTAACAACCTAGATTACGGCGTAACGATTTGGCAAAAAGTCCAAACACAGTCAAGGTGGACTTGTCGGCCTCTTTTCTCCTTATCCACAAGTTGAGTTGCCATCCCGAGACTTCAAAGAAAAACCAGCCTAATCAAGGAGTTCACTAAAAGCATTTTGAGGAAAATTCCTTCCTAGAGAAGTTAAGTTAGAGAAAGAAGGAACAAGTTCATCATATAACCAAGATTAGAAGTCTCAGTTCACAGCCCATTCAGTCACTCATCTACCTCATACACATCCCCAAGGCACCTACTGTGTGCCAGGTTCTGTGCTGGGTGCTGGGTTTAGAAAGAAGAGTCTGGCAGTCTCTTATCTCAGTGGTGCTCCCAGAGTAAGAGACACACAGTAACACGATTTATCCCAAGTCACTTCTCTGTTGACATTCTATTCTGTTTCTGAGCAGCATTTAACAGTTTATACACTTCATCTTTCTTGAAATAGTGGATTCTACTCCCCTCATTCTCCTTCTACCTCACTGACCACTTCTCAGTGTTCTTTGAAGAGGCCCCCTCCTCTTCCCCAACTCTAAATGTTGAAATGTCCCAAACACAGCCCTTAAAGGGACCTCTTGGCTTTTCTCTCTTCATCACCTCCTTCTCCAGTCTCACAGCTTTAAATACATCTGTATGTTGATGACTTGCAGACTCTTAACACCAGTTCAACCTTTTCCATGGACTCTAGTTTACTTCCCTCACATAACCAATTGGATTTTGAATGGGTATCTCAGTCTCCATATGTCAAAAAGCGAGTTCTTTATCTTCCCCTCCAAAGCTTGTTCTTCCATAATCATCTGCATCTTAGTAAAGGCAATGCCATACTCCCAGTTAGTCAGGTCACAAACCTTAGCATCATCTTTCACTCCTCTCTTTTTTTCATACCCCATGTATTCTACATATATGCATATCATATGGGCTGTATCTTCAAAACATACATCGTATCCAATCACTTATTATCTCCATGATTACCATGTTAATCCAAGCTACCATATTTTCTCAGTGCCTGGCACATAGTAGGTGCTCAATAAATAACTTTTAAATGAGTGGTCTATGCATGTCCCTGCATTTCTCCCAGTCGATTACTCCCTCTCTTTTTGCTTCCATTGTACCGCATAGGATCTACTCTATCAATTATTTGATTTTAAAGGAACATGCAACACTTTTCCTCTTAGCCAACATGGAGTAACAGGAATCAGACTTTTCCTCGAGAATGAAATAACCAAACTTAGAAAAAATACATGACACAACAGTTTTCAAGACTATAAGCATTAGGCAACAAAAGACAGCCATCCTTAAGAGACAGGATCAAATGAGGTGAATCCTGTGACTGCCCCAGATTACTCCCTTGTGAGAGTTTCCAGGCCATGGCACAGAGGGGAATGCAGGTGGAACCTGACAGATGACTCCCTGGGCTAAGGAGACAGAGCAGAGAATGAAAGGAGACCCAAGAAGCTAAAGTTTGCAGACCAGAGTACTACAGAGGAGAGAGCTGCACAGAGAAAGGTCTGGAGACCTGCAAAGAGTCTTTCCCAAGTATTCAGCTGAGTACTTATTAGCACACACTCATGAGGTAGTTATCCACAGCTTAGGAAAGAAGCATCCCCCAAAATTAGACAGTACACTTCCCAGCTTTCACTGGGATAGTGCCTGATGCCACCAGCTAAACTGAAAACCTAGTGGTTCATAGGCTATTGGCTCAAGAATGTTTCTAGAATTACAAAAACACATAGCACCCAATAAAGTAAAAATCGCAATGTATGGTATCCACTCAGAAATTACCAGCCATGCAAATAATTTCTCCATAAAGAGGAGGCAACATTTGGTCAATTGAAATAAACTCAGAATTGACACAGATGTACAATCAGTAGACAAGTATATGAAAACAGCTAATATGACTGTATTCTACATGTTCAAAAAGTTAAGTAGGGTCACGAAATATATAAAAAAGACCCAAATAAAATTTCTAAAGATGAAAACTACAATTTTTAAGATGAAAATTACACTATATGGGATTAACAAATGACCAGATATTGCAGAAGAAGGAATTAGTGAATGTACAAACTTATTTTTAAATGAATTTACAGTATTTATTTAGAAAATAAAACTATCCACAATGTAGCACAGAAAGAAAAGAGAATCAGAAAACAACAATAGCAACAACAAAAAGCAAAGCATCAGTGGAAACTACACCAAGGCATGTAAGTATCCAATTGCTCACATCCACTAATAATAGGGAAGTTGTAAAAGTTGCCCAAGAAAGAAGATGCATTATGCACTGAATCACAAAAGTATGAATGGCATCTAATATCCACTAACAAAGGTACAGGTGACAGCAAGACCGCTCTGCTAAGCTTCAGGCTTTCCTTCCTACTTCCAACTGGACATTACTCTCTGGCTGCCCTTGGAAAGCTTGCAGCTCATCTTGCCTCAAGTCACACTGTTTATCACCAGCATCGGCCCTTTGACAGATAGACATTTGTGGCTGACTGGGCCTTCAGACCTTCAACTGCTGGCTTTCAGGATGGCTTGGCATTCTAACTTCTCCCTGAAGAGCATTTCCGGACTCCTTCTCCTTGACTGCAGCTTTCTGCCAAGTTTCCTGGGTCCTGGGGTGAAACCTGTGTTCGGACTATGCCACCCTTCTTGCCAATACCGCCTGCACTAGAGTGTGTACTGCCTGAGAGCAGACATCAGTGTCTGTGTTCTTGTCCACTACATCCCTTCACAGCACTGGGCTGGCTCATGAAAAGAATTGCATACATGTTGGTGGGTGGAAGGAAGGAAGCGGGGGCGGGTGGGGAACGACATCAAGGCTAGAACTTGGCAAAGTTCTGAGGAATGTCAGAAGACAGAGCTCAGAAAAGTGCTGAGCCTGAAGGAAAGGAATTTTTAAAAGGATGTAAACTATCACCTTTTCTACACAATACTGTGCTGGATTTCTCAACCAGTGCAATAAACAAGAAAAATAAATTAAGTACATAAGTACTGAAAATAAAAAGAAATGTTTTAAATAGACTATGGTTAATAATTTATAGTATATTTCAAAATTGTTAAAAGAGGACATTTGAAATAGTCCTGACACAAATGGTCCATGTTTGAGATTATGAGCATCCCAGTGACCCAGATTTTATTATTACGCATTGCATGCATGCACCAAAATATCATGTGTACCACATAAAGTGTATAATCTCTATGCATCAACAACAAATTTTAATGTAAACTACAAAACCATGATGATGAAACTGGAGGAAACATTTTATATAATATTTAGATTGGAAGACAATACCATGAAAGAAAACATTGAACATAAATGCACATTAAACCAAAAATTTGAAAGAATACAACAAAGTGAAAAAAATGCTTGACAGAGAAAAAAATTATTTATTTAATAAACAGAGATCTTATAAATCAACATACTGAAAAATCAAAACAGTAAAATCACAAAAATGTAGGTGCAAGGATGCTAGTCACCGATATGTATACCTTAATGAATTAATCAATTAACCCAGTGAACCAAGACCATAGGGTGAAATACTATGCAGCCCTTAAAATAGTCTTGCCATTGTAAAAGACTACTTTTTGTCTAGGGGAAAACAGGTTTCAAACTGGAATAATCTGTAATGTTAATAATGTAGTCCATGCATGCATATGTGATATATGTTCACACATAGATACATAAACTCACAAGATCAAGACTTTATATCTCAATTCTTAGGGGGTGGGACAATTGTTTTTCTTTGTATATTTTTTATAGTATCCAATATTCTGTTTTGTAATGTGTGATGTCTGTATTCAGGAAGGGAGGTTATAGGGCTGTATAATAAAATAAAAATTACTTTAAACCTTAATTTAAAACAACAACAACAAAAATCCAGCCCATTTTGATTTCAGGTTCAAGGTAATACCAGGTCAAGCCAAAGTTTTTTCACTGAGACTGGGAAGGGATCTCTTCCATGGCTAACAGCCCACAGAGTCAGACTACTACACATCTTAGCCAGAAACTAGTCCCCAGATAGGAAATATCTGATACATTTTAATATCAGATATTTTCCATCGCAGCAGCAAAAGTCTTGGGCAGCAGGCAGAGAACGGTACAGGGGAGAGTCATAGACATCATGGGGGCAGGGCGGTAGAGCAGGCACGCAGGTAAGCAGGGCGGTGTGTGGGCAAGCAGCGATAGCGAAGTCTCAGAGGAAGCTGTGGGTATCCCTGACAGGAAGCTGGAACCTGGTGATTCAGGGGCAGGTTCTCATTCATGGAGCAGCTACCTTATGCTAAATACTTGACATAAGTTAATTCATTTAATCCTAATGACAACCTGACAAAGCCGACACTATTCTTATCTCCATTGCACAGATTCGTACCTAAGCAATTTGACTCCGGAAGCACACTCAGTCACAGTGCCAGCTTCGAAGGCAAAAGGAGCCAAGGAGTAGGCAATTACTAAAAAAAAGAGGTATGATCAGAACTGCACTGGAAGCAGCAGGCTCCTGGGCTGACTTTTGAGTGTGGTGCCGAAGCTGCCATGACCCCCTGTGCCCAGGCTCAGGAGGGACAGTGTGAGGGGGCCCTGCTGTGGTAAAGTAAGCTGCAGGAGCTGAAGGTGGAGAGCATCCCCAGCACTCACTAGGCAAGCAGTGGGCCTTTGAGTCTGAGCCGCCCCAGCCTCCCTGAGTTCAGGCTCCAGCACAGCAGCTTCATGCACTAAGTCCTTGAGAACTACTTGTTGAAAGAATAAAATTTCCAGAATGATGCACAAGAGGCAGGGCTTTGCCCAAGCAGCTTGGCAGGCCAGCATGGTTGATCACCACCTTGACAAGGGGCTACAACCTCTAGTGTGGACACCAGTGTGCCAAACTTACCATGGTTGGGCTGTTTTTGCCAAGGGAGACTTTGTCTCTTTACAGACAAACATAGGGCTGGGGCAATATACCTGGCATCAGCCACATATAGCCCATACCCTAGGGGAGGCTCTTTCTAGAAGGCCGCCCAAGACAGGGTGGACCTCAGTGATTGTAGCTCACCTCCCTAAATGCTCCTGTCCTTATTGAGAAGCCCCTCCTGAACTCCACATCTCCAGGTGCCCATGGGCCATCTCTATCTCCTAGAGGCAGCCACTGGCCCCTGGAGCCAACATGTTCTAACTGCCATGAACTTCTGCCCCTCAGCCCCAGCTCCTCTGTCCCTAGCACCTTATCTGGAGAAAGGCACATTTTGCTCCACATGTGCTCAATTAAGAAACCTAGGAGTAATCCTTGATACCTCCCACCCACTCCCCAAATAGTATTTGTTATTCTGCTGGAATCTCTCTCCAGCACCTTCTTC